TAACAAAGTTAATCCTCACATTGCCCGCCCTGTGCCGTTAATATACTGGAGTAGGTTTTCCAGAATGTGATGCGATTAGCTATAGAAAACAACTATATATTGATAAATAAACTTGAAGGTTGGGCATTGTAATATATACATGTCCACATCTTAGTGGATATATCGATAAATGCCTTAAAAGAGAAAGAAAGAATCAAGAATGTCCAAACTGCATTTGATACCTTCATGTTTTGCTTGCTGTAACTAAGCCCTACATAATACTCTTTCATTGTCTCCTCCCTGCAAAGTTCTCTCTTTTAATCTACAATGACCTAGCGTTATCATTTGTTCCACACAGTGTTCATGTTATCATATATGAGTCTCACGAAAGAATTAGTGTAACTCTGTCTCAAGGAAATAGGTAGCAATACACCATTCAATTAGTGTGTACTCCAGTATGTAGGAAATATATAGAAAACGTCAATGGATTAACTGGAAAAATAGTTCAAGGTAGATCTTGGTGCTTCCACCTATAAATATGCTCTTTACATAAAGCGAGAATTTAAGAGGCAAGAAAATGTTTTGGAGCCAGGAAATCAAAAACAGATTCATCTATTTGAATTTATGGTCAGGTAAGAAATTTTAGTATTATTTCACATATTCATTAAACGTGAAATGCGAACTACTCTCCAGTCTTCCCACCACAACCATGGGTTACATGTGTACAAGGTTAGATCAAAGTGGCAGCTAAGAATATTCCATTCTGCAGTTGTTCAAGGATGACAGTTGAGAAAGTTGGATAGCAGAGGATAAAAATAACACTTGTTTGGGCATAAATGATGTTTTGTTTTTAATTCAGCAATGTGAGTGCTTCTCATCTTACCATAAACTCCAGAATTACCTAAGAATAATTTTTGCAACATTATGAATATCACTATCACATCAAATTACAATTATTCTTGTTTTCTAAAATGAAAACTATCCCTTATAAACATGAGAATAAATTGAGGCAATGAAAAATAATCAGTAGCCATTGGGTTTAATTCAGTTCAGTTTACCACATAGTAAACAGTGTGCATATTTTCTGATGGAGTAATTTTTCCACTGTTGTAAAAACGAAGTGTTTGACCAGTTGATTAATATCTATTTGGAGGCAGATGCGGACACAGAGATGGTTTCAATCTGCATGGCCAATTTGAAGGGTGATAGAGAGTCAGTGGCTTATTTACTTTCTTTTTATTACTTAAGAGAAATGTGGAATCTTTAGCTCCCAGCTCGACAGTGAGTTACAAAGAGCAAAAGGTGCCTCAAAAGTTCCTCTGGAAAGTATTATCTCTGCACTCCAGGATCAGCAGAGGGGAGAAACGCCACACTATCTTACTTTGCCATTTGTACTTTGAGTCAAGAGAATCCTCATCATGGTCAGTTTCCTATCCAGAATGTAATTTATAGAGAGATATCAAATTTATTTTGTAGGTTACATATGTTTGAATGATATTCATGTATATATCTGTATCTGTCTATGTGCGTTTGTTTCTGTGCTGGTGACTTTGCCAGGTTAGTATGGATCATGAGCTAAGTTAGAGGTTAAAACACAGAAAAAGCTTGCTATTTATTGCCCCTCATTCCAGCAAACCAGTACAACAAAGGACTCCAGATGAGTGAGCCCTAGTGGTCAGGTAATGATGTATTCTCTGCAACGATCACATTTGCGTTTGTCTATTTTCCTTGTGATAGTGAAGCTCGGAGTTGGAATTAAAAATCCTTGGGGAAAAAGCTATTTTTGTAATTCAGCTGGAGTGTCCTTGCTGTTGGGTTTCCCATTGCATCAGTCAGTCCCTTAGCCTGGCAAGACAGCCACGGCAGTGTTTTATCTTTGAGATGAAATGCAGAGCTAAGGACATGACTACTGGTGCTTATTAAAGATGCCTTGCTATTTTCACAAGAGTAGGGGCGTTAGACTCTTGTCTACTGGCCAAATTCTAAATCGGGAGATTGCATTCTGCTTTCTTAAATTCCCTCGGCAGAAGCAGCACCCATGGTACCCTACTTTGTGTTGTGATGCCACTAAATGGTTCAGGTTTTCTACTCCACAAGTGCTCTCATTTGGGGGTGGGGCGGGGAGTAAATTGACACCTATAGTATAATATTGTATTTAATCTAGTCATCCCCCCGCACCTTTACTGAGGTATAATTGACAAGTAAAGTGTATTTATTTCAGGTTTGAAACTTGGTTGTCTCCTAATATATGTATATATTATGAAATGATCACCATAACCAAGCTAGGTGACATAGTCATTATCTCACACCAGTAGCATTTATTTTTCTTTCTTTTAAAAATTATTTGTTTAATTTAAATATATTTGTACTTACTTAAGGGTTTCAGTATTATTATCCAGTATTCAAGATATAATTATGATTCAGTTCCAAAATGTAGGTTTGTATATACGATAAGGTACAAAGCAAAATGAAAGACACAGTATATCAATCATAGTACTTTTAATTTTTAAAGCAGTTTGTTTTCTCCCTTTCAACATGGAAAAAATTGACACACTTTTACTCCAATGCTGACAATGAGTATTTGCCTTCTTTATTACAAACCAGTTAAACCGTCCTCCTCCTCCTTCCCTTCCTCATCCTCTCCTATCCCATCTTCTTCCCCTTCATCTGATTTTTTTGAGGTGGTGTCTTTGCTATGTAGCTTGGGTTGACCTTGAACCTGTGATTTTCTTGATTTAGTCTTCTGAGTATTGGGATTACAGATATGTGCCACTCCACCCAGCTTAAATAGTGTGTGTGTGTGGGGGGGTGTAGACAGTATTTAAGCATTCCAGTCGCCTGTCCATTTCATACAATATTTTTCAGAATGCATTTCCTTCTTGGTCACATATTACAATGTTTTTTCAATCTTTCAATCCATAAAAACCAAGTTCTTAAACCAGGCGGTGGTGGCGCACGCTTTTAATCCCAGCACTCAAGAGGCAGAGGCACGCGGATCTCTATGAGTTTGAAGCCAGCTTGGCCTACAAGAGTGAGTTCCAGGACAGGTTCCAAAACTACAGAGAAATTCTGTCTCAAAACACACACACACACACACACACACACACACACACACACACACACACACACACACACACAAGTTCTTTCGGTATAACCTGGTACTACTCTACTAGTATTTGATGTCACTTTCTTTTCTTAATAACTTTTTAAATTATATACTGTGGCTGAGCAGAAGTGTAGCATAACATCATAGTTTTTTAGTTGTTTATTTTCTACTGTTGGAGATCAAACTCAGGTCCTTGCAATGCTAGGCAAGCAATCTACCACTGATTGCTTACACCTCCAGCCCTGTGGCATAGGTTTTAGAATGGGACATGCTTGCGTTTAAATCCTGATTTTGTCCCTCTCTAGGTGTCTACTGTTGGGAAAGAGTTTTAACTCTTAAGTAAATTTTGGGTTCTTCCTGTGACAATCAAATGAGGTGATACACTACTGACTAGAACGATGGTGTGAGATAGGTTTAACACTGACACCTAAAACGTGCTTAATAAATAGGTGCAATTTTTCTGATCATGTAGACAGAGCTGCCTTAATTTACAAGTGTAAGAGTGGGAAGAATACGTATTTTCTACACACGTCAGTTTTTAACAGCAGGGCACTAGGATGTGCATAGAGGCTCAATGTTTAGTAAGGGAATAAACCTCTCTCTTCTCCCCCCTGAGTGAAATGAAATGCTCTCAGCTGTTTGTAAGGTCCCACACACTTAGATCAAAGGCTCCAAAATCAATCTTCTACTGTTTACATACAAACAGACAGACTCCTGACTTTGTGGAGCTATTCTGACATGGTGTAGACACAACGGAGATCACTTACTTTCTATCAGGTTCGTTTTTAAATGAATATTTACATCTGAATATTGTCATTTTACAGCCCCTTTCTTAAGCGCCCAGAATGGGACTGACTCCATCATACACCTCCTCACTCATTTAAGCAGTTTTAAGACAATTTTAAAATGAGAATTAAGAGCTATCCCATTATACACCTGAACAAAATCTTCTAACTTATAACTAAGTTCACTACCTGACCGATATATTTATTTGTAAGGTCTGGGCATTACAGATACATTTCGAATTTCTTTATTTTCATGTCCCAAATATCAAACCTGAAAAGCCCACAGCTGTGAGTCTGAAAACACAACGAACATCTTTGAATCCGTGAGGCACTTATTTATATATTTATTTATGCTTTTATATGTTCTCCCTGAACTACGAGGAGAAGATGGAGGGAACAAGTCCAAGACAGGCTGCCTGAATTGGGCTTTACTATTCGTCAATCAGGAAAAAGAGAAGTATTGCGTTTCTAGCACAGTCTCGGAACAAGCGTGGTGTCTGATTAGATTAGCCTTAAAAACACCGCAGCGTGGCCATTTCCCGGACGGCTTTGTACATTCTTTACAGCGGCTGTCTCAGGTGTGGAGCTCAAGGGAGCACCTGAGTGCTCACACTCCCAACAGTTCAGAACCAGTGTATCTGAGGCCGGTGGCTCAGGTTCCACCTCACTGGGCTCGAGTGTCACTAACCCTACATGCAATGGGGTATCGCCAAGGTGTGCTTTGGAACTTGGATGCTTATTTCAGACTTTTTCTTTCTTTCCCGCCCCCTACACTAGTTTCTGTCTCCCTGCTTCCTCTGGGAGCTTACCCACCTCCTGTCTTTCCTCCCACTCCTCCCTGTCTTGTTCTCTTTTTTTCTTCCACTTGGCTTTTCCGTCTTCCATCCTCCTCCAGGAGCCCGGCTCCCGAGAGGCGCGAGTCGGGCGGGACCCACCATAGGCGCCAAGCCACGAAAGCTCGTGGCGCGCGCTGCAAGCGGGGACGCGCTCACGCTTGAGCCGCCACGGACGGGGCAGCCTGGTAGCAGAGCCGCGCGCGCGCGCAGACCGCGAGCCCCCGGCGCGCCCCCGGCGGCCGGGGCCGCAGCGTGCTCGCCCCCGCCGCCAGCTCGCCTCACTTATGGGTCGGAAGCACTGCGTGGGGGAGACTGTTCCAAGATGGCGGCGGGTTGCTGTGGGGTGAAGAAGCAGAAACTGTCCAGTTCGCCCCCCTCTGGCTCAGGCGGCGGTGGTGGCGCCTCCTCCTCCTCCCACTGCAGCGGGGAGAGCCAGTGCCGAGCCGGGGAGCTGGGACTAGGAGGCGCCGGGACGCGGCTCAACGGACTGGGCGGGCTGAGCGGCGGCGGCGGCGGCGGCGGCGGCGGCTGTACCCACTCTCCCCCCCAGGGTTGCGGCGGCGGCGGCAGCGGCAGCGGCGGGGGCATCTCGCTGTCTCCACCTCTGAGCTGTGGAGTGGGAACCTTACTTTCTACTCCGGCCGCCGCCACCGCCTCCTCGCCGTCCTCCTTGTCTTCATCCCCGGGCTCCCGGAAGATGGTGGTGTCAGCGGAGATGTGCTGCTTTTGCTTCGATGTGCTCTACTGTCACCTGTATGGATATCAACAGCCTCGGACCCCCCGCTTCACCAACGAGCCCTAGTGAGTACCGCGCTCCCCGTCGCCCTCTTCCCCTGGGCTCGGGATGGGGCTCAGAGTTGAGGCAAAAGTGCAAGTCCTCCGCCTCCTGCTCGCGGGTGCCCCTCAGCCCCTCTCGCTCACTGCTCGGGTCCCCAGAGTCGCCCGACCCGAGGGGTACTCGGTGCTCCTCTGCTCCACGAGGCGAGCACCCCACGCTTGGAGCCGGGGGGCTGCTTGCCAGACATGGCCCCCTGGGCTTCCAGACTACTCCGCTTCCTCTTTGCGCTAACTTCCAGGAGTTTTGACCCTTTCTTTCGATCCCTTCTACCCCTCACTCTCCGCCCCGGCAGCGGGTTTGGAGATCGGGATCACTGTTGGTACCGACCTCTCCTCACTTTGCTCGCCATTACCCCCCGTGAAAGCCCCGCCAGTATTCCCGCCCCGCGTACCTTGCACATGGAGAGCTACTATCCCATGGCAGGGTGAAAAATAGCAGTGATCTAACTTCTAGTGTGCTAGTGATGGAACTTAGCTCGCGAGCTCCAGGGAGGTTGCCCATCTTTTCCTTCGGGTTTCCCGGTTCCTTGGGGAGGGGAGAGGTTTCTTAAAACACCTTTAGGCTTACTACCTATTTTTAACTGAACATACCCACTAAAACGGGTTTCCAGTGAAGCGAGCGCACCACCAGCTTCCTCACATTTGAAGAGTGGGACCTTTTTTCTTTTTCTTTTCTCTCTCTCTCTCTCTCTCTCTCTCTCTCTCTCTCTCTCTCTCTCTCTCTCTTTTTTACTTCAGTGTCTGGGTATAGCACATTCAAAGAACGTTGTCGTGTCGTGTCCCCCCCCCCCCCCCCGCCCCAGAAGGCACTGTCAATGTGTTCTAAGCGTGCATTCGCTTTTGTGTAGATTTCAATTTAAGCAACCTATGTTAAACTCAATGTTTTGAGGAATCGTTAAACAATCCGGTAAATGTGTAGACACTTTTACGATTTCCTTTGGTTTTTGTACTTTACAATGATTTTACCCTTCAAGTATATGGTTGGAACTGTTTAAAATAGCACTGTTACAAGCTAAGAGCCAGGTTACTTCTAATCCCTGTCCATTTGGATGTGTGGGAGACGGGGCATATGGCTTTTCTTTTAAGATGTGTAAACTGAGTGTAAACTGACTTTCCGAGTTAAATGCTAGAGAGAATGTAAAGTCCAAAAGAAGGCAGACTGGGGGGGGAGGGGAGGACGATTTTTTTTTATTGTGAATACTAGCATCCACAAGAAAAACATAGAAAACAATATCATGCACTCAAACTGAAAACCATCAACGCCCCCTCCCTTCTACCTGAAGGCCCCTTGTTTCCCACAGCGTAAATACCTGAATCGATGTGCTTTTTAATTTGCTGCTTTTCATTTTGTGAGATTAGAAGACTGAAATTCCGCTGGATAATTATAAACACGTCTGACTCTACTAAAATATCAAATTAATATGTAAAGTGGAAATTACAATAAAGTGTCCTGGAAATTGTGCATTCGTATTGTTTGTTTTCTTTGCTTTCATTCTTTAAATGTCTTTAATTTCATATGACTCTGCTGTGCTCTGCGCAATTCTTTAGATTTGGTTCATTTTTGGGCATCAGTTCCTGAGAAATGTATGAAAAGGCACCCAGGTGGACACTGTCAAGTAAATGAAGTACTTTTATAAATTTCCTAGTGTTAATTCTAGGAGCTTAAATCCTAAGTCCACACATTTATTTGACCTATTTTTTTTCATTAAGAAGTAAAATTCATTTTAAAAAGATGGGCGTGTTAAAAAAATCTGTAAAATCCTCACTAGTTCAAGTCACTTACTTTCAAGCCTTCTTTCGGATGACTGTGATGTAGCAAAAGCTAGACCTGGGGTCATTCTTAGGTTGGCTCTGTCAAGTCATGGGACTGTAAAAATTTACTCCTGTTCGGTTATTGAGCCGCTCCTTGAGTTTGGAAAGGCTGTTTTAGCATTCACGCTCCATGGTTCCAAAGCATATGAGAACACACTCTGAGGAGGTGCTATTTTCGCACATTTTAAAGTGAGTTTGGGTTAACTGAATGACTATAACAACAGTGAAGACGAAAATGAACTTGGCCAGTTCGTAAAGGAAATGTTTTCAAAATGCCTTAAACAGTGGCCACTTTGCACACATACTTAGGTTGTTTCTCTTTTAAAACCCTCATTGCTGAATTTCTGCCTCTCAAGTTATTAAGCAGATAAATAAGACAGTCATGTGCCCACTGTGAATGTGGTGAGCTGGTGGAAGAGCTGTAGCTCTGAATGGTTAGGTAGGCTTTCAGTATGTCCCATTTCCATAGACTAACTATGGAAGGCACTGAACGTGAGCAATCAAAGGGTAAAGGGCTGCGTTTCTTTTTCAGTTAAACTCATTTTTAAAGTGTGCGATGTCAAATTCAAGAAAATCTTCTGACTGTGGGAGGGAAATAACTGATTATTTCACAATGCCTTGGCAACACCACACATTTCTCCGCTTAACCTATTTGATGATATTGTGTGCTTATTAGTGTGGCATTGTGTAGCCTTCACCCTACTGATTTATGGATACCATGTCTTGGGCAGTATATTTAAGGAATTTTACTAAATTTGCCTGTCTGCCAGAAGACATGCTCTCAACAATTTCAAATTGTCATATGTAAAAGCACAGCATTGTTGCCCCCTAGAACTTTCAGTCAGAGTGCCTGCAACTGGTGGAATCTGACTTTTATAGGTTTAGAAGTTACAGATGCCTCGGCTGCCCTGCCACTCTGAAAGGTCATCAGAAATTTCAATTATTTGTGTTTTAGGGTTGGGGAAGAAAGAGGTCATCCTATGAAAGGCCACATAGACACAAAAACTTCAAGGTTGCTCCTGTCTTTTGAGTACTTATCCATCGCAGAGAGCACATTTTTTTTTTCTTCCAGAAATAAGGTTCAAGACACAAGGAAACCATAATTTTAGGTACATTTTCCTGTTGAACAATACAAGCTCTTAGGTGAGGAAGCTGACATAAGCCATTTTAGAAGAACCTGTTGGCTACCATAAAGGTTCCACCGTGGCAGGTGCTGAACCAGTTCAGTAAGACTCCAGAATATTCCTTCTCGACCATGGCTGCACATCGGAATCCCTAGGGCGTTATTTAGAATGTGGAAACCTGTTCACTAACCCCAGAGATCCTGATTTAGTCAATCACAGATGGGACCTGGGAATCAGAATTATTCCAATCTCCCCAGGTAATTTTAGTGTGTAGTTGGAATGGAGAACTGGTGGACATTTTCTAGCTTTTTCTCTTGAGATTTGGATTAATTTGATCTGGGGTTGTGCCACGGACTCCATATTTTATGAGCATCCTGGGTAATTTTGCCAAAGAACCGATTTAGGAAACACTTGTAATGTGGGCCATAAAAGACATCACCCGGGAACTTATTAGAAATGTGGGCTCCCAAGCCCCACCTCAACCCCCCCTCCCCCGAATTAGAATCTGCATTTAACAAGCTCCCCAGGTGATTCTCGTACACATTAAAGTTTGTGGCGAACTTGTTCTCTGACTTTAGCATACATTGTAGTTTTCTGTTGTGCTTGTTAAAAATGCGAGTTGCTGGGCATTTTCCCAGAGTTTGATCCAGTTGCTCTGGGGTGGAGCAGTACATTTGCATTTCTAACAAGCTCCCTGGTGATGCTGATGCTACAGTTCCCAGGGTCACACACTGAGCAACTGTGGGTTAGAGAGAAATGAAGGCCTATATGGGTGACTTCAGAGGCAGTTTGGACTGGCACGATCCTCATTCTGTTTTTCTGTCCTCAGCATTCGCGCATAACACTAGCAAAATGGATTGCTACCAAGAGCAGGAAATCAGGTTCTGGGGATGGTGTGGGGATGGTGTTGCTCTAGGAAACCTGTATGATTTTAGGTTTCTCAAAGAAATCGTTGCATGTGAAGGGTCTATTTCAGGAGTTAAAAGCTGCACAAATAGAATATCTTAACATGAATGTTTTTAAGGAAAGACCCCTCTTGTTTTCGTGAAAAGTACTATTATGATTGGCTCCCTAAATACCAGGATGTGATAAGATTTTTCAAAGTCCTTATTTATACTTATGGGTGCTGAAACTCATTTAAAGGATCTCCCTCATTAGTAAAGAAATATGAAAAGGGTCCTGCTCAAAACACTTAGATTTTTAATGCCGTGGTGTATATTATATCCCATGAACCTTTTGATTATCTCACTATCTGGAAAATTAACATGCTACTAGAATTTATGTTGACATTTATACATGGATGTTTTTGCTTTTAAATATGAGTAAGTGTGATTTTTCTGTTGCAAGGAATAAACCCCCCCCCTTTTTTTTAAAACCACTCTTGGACATGCAGATCTTGTAAGGATCAAGTCGAAGGATTGAGCATTAAGTCTCGTCTTATCAGAATAATAAAATTACTGTTCTCATCATGCTTGGGAGACAGTAGATTGTGGTAGAGATGTAGGCATTTTGTTCTAGCAGAGTAGCAGCAATCCTGTTTATTGAGCTATCAAAAAGATGATTGATTTGATAATGCAGTTCAGGTCCAAATGATAGTGAATTAGCATTTTAAACACAAGCTATTACATTGCTATTGTCTTTTTGAATGAAGAGTGACTAAAATAAGTAGAAAGTGTATCTCTGCTGCAGATGATACAACTGGACCATGACCGATTTCCTTATCCACGCTAACATAATGATATTAACTTCCTTTTTCTGACCATATTGTATAGTTTTTCTTGCAAAAGAAAAACATTTCTGACAGTTATTGAGCCTTTTGAAGGTATAATATGATTTTTTTCACCAATGTTGATGTACATTGGAGAACAACTTAATGTCTTTTCTTACTAATAGAGAAGATAGCATTTTCTCACTTATTACTTGTACCACAAAACCATCAGTGGTTGACACAGAAAGATGTATAAACATAATTTCAAAATTATTTTTATATCTGTATGTACAGCAAAGTATATTTAGTTTAAAAGGTAGA